TGTTAATTTTTTTGAAAATTGTTACAAATAGAGAAAATCTGACAGGGCACAAACGTTCAGAATGTTGAGCTTTACCAATTGTTTAAATACGTCAAAACTGTCAGACGACTTCTTGTAGGAGTTATTGCCCTTAAAGGACAAATTTTACCTCTTTTTCATTTTTGCCTATTATTTTGAAAACTATAATAGATAGAGAGAAACTTTAAAATGTAAAAATGATCAGCAAGAGAAAAGTTTAACATGATCGAAATCGTCAGTCGACTCCTTACTAGAGTTATTGCCCTTTGATGACGATTTTTACCAATTTTTTTGCGTTTTTGCCTTATATCTAATTAATTATAATAGATAAATTAAAACTTAAATAAGCTAAAATGATCATCAAGACAAGATCTACAATTGAGACAAACATGAAGGAAATGACGACTCCTTATTGAAGTTATTGCCCTTTAATGACGATTTTTACCAATGTTTTTGCTTTTTGCCTTATATGATAAAAATTATAATAGATAAATAGAAACTTTAAATAGCAAAAATGATCAGCAAGGCAAGATCTACAAACAAGTCGATTTTTGCCGATATAGTTAGTAGAATGTCACTCTTTATAGGAGTGATTGCCCTTAAATGAGGATTTTTTTAAGCTCTTTTGTCTTTTGAGCAAAAACTAAAGAAGATAGAGAGAAAATAAACAGACAAAAACGATCAGTAATACAAGATCAACAAAAAAGAGATTTTTGTCATGAATTCTATTCTCGTCTACAATATTGGAGAGTGTCCTTTGTTGGATATGCACATAGACCTAGGTGAACGACACAGACTCTTTAGATCCTGTAGTTTGTTAGAACAGTTACTTGTGTTGGATATAATTTTAATATAAGCGTACTGATGGTCGTTGATATGACTCCAATCTATAAGGGCGTGACAGACTGACGCGAATGTCAAATCAGCTATATTTTGTACAAAGTTTGACGTGCGTTGATGCAAAACAGTGTCTGAATGGCATTGTCATTGTTGTAAGACATTGTTTAAAAACCCCAAAATGCTGCTCACTGTACTACAGTGACTGATTTAAAATAACAATAATTTGTAACCGCTGTTATAAACTTGAGTATAAATTTATTTGGTGAATAGAAGTTCTTAAGCGTCAGTCACATGCACAACCAATGTGTAAATATGATCTGAGATAAATGTCACAAGCTCAGTTAGGCATATTTGAAAGGTAGATTTCAACATTACCAATTTATAAAATTATGTTCTGATAGATTGTAAATCTTATAGAATGAAACTCTGGTGGATAGTTGTCTCGTTGGGAATCATACCACATCTCCTTATTTTTGTATCAATCAATAAATGCAATAGTTAATTTAAAGATAAAAAGTCACAGATACCAGGTTTATAACTTTGTTCGCAAGACGCGCATTTAGTCAACAAAAGACTTATAACTGATTCTCGAATAAAAAAAGTTAAAAAGCCAAATAATGTTTGCAGTTGAACAATATTCCCGAAGGTTTTGCTAATTTCAGCTAGGTAATTTCGATTTAATTCAGTGTCTTCTGTGATTTCTACATATGGTTCTGTTATAAAGTTCATCCGGTATGCTAGAGACCAAACGTTTTTGAAGCCAAACATATACCAAACGTTTGCAAAAGGAAAACAAACAAAATAAGAGGGTGATATATCAATGGTATTACTATGGATAGAATTTTAAATTTATGTTACATAGAAACCTTACATAGTATTTCAATTAAAAAAAATTCCGTTTTAAAACTATTATAACTTCATCCGTTTTAAAATGAATGATTCAGTTATGAAGTAGAAATAACTTCCTTATACAAATTCTAGTGTATAGTGAGTCGAAATGTAGCTAGACATGTTTGTACTTGCAAGATATGTTTTTTTTATTTTCATTCACGATATGATAACCATGAAATCTGACGGAATATGCTATGAAAAGAAGTAAGTTGTTTTAATTCTTGTATTAACATTATACATATTCATAGGTACTTCACATTTGACACCCGGTCATGTTGCTTATCATAAGTACAACAATATTTTCTAATTGAACTGACTTTAATGAGAGTAAAGTTGATTTAACACAAATGTCACTTTACAGGTTTACAGATACGACGGACTTTTGAATACTCAGAAAAAAATCAGTTGTCATCAGCTTCTTACCTGTAAATATAATGTGTCTCGTAAAAAATATTACAACTTAAAGATGATATTTTACATCCTACCATTATTCTGATCTCGTTAATGTAATGGAACGTAAAGTGAATACACTGGTGAAGTTCTTCCATCGTTCATCAGCAAGGACAACAGATGTGATATGCTAGCCAATTTAGTTAAAATTGTTCGTTCTTCTTGTGTTCTGGCGATTTCTAATACTTTCTGGCATTTGACACATACTGACTAAATCATTACATACTATGATGAGAACTCATGCAAATCTGCTTACTGTCGCAAGTCAGTTGGATATTGGTTCCTTTTACGTATCAATCACAGTATCCTAACCACATTGCTAGTGATGTATACTGAATGTTTGATTTAATCAAGCAATTATGATAAGTTATGTATGAACTTTAAAATAATGAATTACAATGAACTTCTAGCATACTGTAAAAGAGAGGCGAAAGATACCAAAGGGCCATTCAAACTCATGAGTCGAAAATAAACTGATAACACCATGGCTAAAAAAGAAAGAGACAAACAGACAATCAACAGTACACAAAACACAACATAGAAAACTTAAGACTGAGCAACACGAACTTACGTTTAGTTCCAAAATAACTTTTACCAACAACACTGACATTTAACTATAATTGACGTTCAACCGTCTCGTTATGTTTTTTTTCATGAAATGTTTTGCTGGTCATTTCATTTATCAATTAGTCTAGTCTGTTTCGTTAACCTCAATAGTAACGACAAATTAATATTTATAAATATATTTGTAATTGGTAAATATGAATTAATAACTGATAGTTTAATGTTAATCGCAGTAACCTATAATTTTTGTTGTAAGATCTAATTTATTGGCCGGGAAAAGATAATGAAGAAAATGAAGAAAACATTTTTTTTTAAATTAAAGTAACAACTGTTTTCCAAGGACTTAAACACGTATTAAATGTACAGTGATTAAAACAGAATGAAAAAGACAGATGTAAAAATTTCTTATTATTTGTACCATTTTTCTATTTTGGCCAAGTTTGCGATGACATCTACACCAGCATTTGGATTTATTGTTTATTTTTAACAGAGACATGTAAAACATTATATGTCTCTGTTTTTAATAATTGATACTTTCTTGATCTGAATGCCTTTCAATCTTTCCCCTCTCTAGTTTGCCAATTCTTGTAATAGAGAAACGTTTAAACTATTACTAAATTGTTTTTTAATGTATATGCCTTTTTACGACAATATGTTCATACGTAGTTTTAGATCCATCTTGAAACAATTAAAACCATATGTGTGATAATACATTTCATTTGATAGTCCAGGTAAATATTGACATCGTCCTGAATATGCATGAAATATTTGTCACCAGCAGTTAGGCAAGCAATAAACAAACATTCAATTTATCAATAACAATTTACAGTGTGGGAAAACAAAACAAAGTTCAAGTGAAATACATAAGAAATTAGCGGCAGTTACAGATTCGTTGTGTTCGAGTTATGAAATTACCCCTTTCTACTTTAACAGTAAACTACAATGTAGTTCATTTCTGCATTGTAAAATTACTTTTCTTTGGCGTGTTGTTCAAGTTAAACTAAGGGATAATATTTTCTTAATCACTTATAAAAGATGAGTAAGTCACACTGACATCCAACTTAAATTTCTGCCAAACTCCGTTTTCAACAAACAAATAATTTTTGTATCTATAAAATATAGATTTGTTTATTGTCTTCAATTTTTAAAAATCCTAATCTGCCCTTTCACGAAGTATATTTGAAGAATGTTATAGTGTTTTTAAAACCTTTCAATCTTGGGCCTTGGTCATTTTCAGACAATACTTCTAATTTGTGTAAAGACATAAAATATATTAAAAGATAATATAAAGGATGAAGAAATAGTTGTCTTATAAATTATTTTAAGATTTCTCGAAAATTCATATATTAATTGGCTAAATTTTCTTGAGTATAAATAATCGTATAGACAATTTTAGTCATGTATAAAGTAACTAATTGATTCTATCTTTCGTGCCGAATTGTCAATAAGGATGCAATAGGTAGTGAAAAATTTCTGAAAGTTCTTGCTGCTCTATATTGAAATTTGAGATCAACTGACCACTATTAGTGTTTTCAAAACAATATATGAATCAAAACCAAACCAGCGTTTGTGTATCAAAAGGGGAATAATTATACACTTATTGTTAAATCATATGATATCATCTGCTATTTTAAAACCTTATTTATATTTTGATGCAAGACTTATTCGATACCTCTCATGGTGGAATATAAGTCCCCGAAGGCATCATCAAACAGTACTTTGATACTGGCATGAAAATACGAATATTGTTTAATCAAAATTTAATCCCTCATGCAAATATCTTATTTTTCTTGGTTTTGCTGTACGTTTGGTCTGTTTTGGTTTTATCAGCTTTTTTACGTTTGTATAAATTTTGGATTTTCAAATATATTTGCATCTGGCATCACTGAAGAGTCACTAATTTCGAAATGCGCATCTGGTGCAGTACAATTGGTACAATTGAAAATATCAAATGAATTATTTTCTTGCATGGGTATTGTGCAAAGTCACCAATACTATAGTTTAGGACGGATTGATTTTCTACAGATTTGATATTTCTTATTAAGCGGAGCCAAATTTGTCTTTTTTTAAACAAACGTCTAACGTTATATATTGTCGCTTTTTAGTCTTCTCTTTTTTAAACACTATTTCCTTTGAGTTATCTATTATTTTTCCTAGTTCTTAATATTTAAATACTTGTTTAATCCTTTGATGCCGAACGACTTGACATGAACAGTTATTTATACTCTGCAAGATAAAAGTGGTTAGCGAAAAATGTTGCGATGGCTTCTACAAAAGTTCAGATGGTGATTGTTCGGGTAAGAAAGTATAGTATTTCAAGTATCGGATTGCCTTGACAGGCAAATATGTAGTATATCAAGTTCTACATTTGCCTTGAAAGACAAATGTATCATATTTCAAGTTCTGAATAACATAATTAGATTAAGGTACTATAGAATTTACAAGTTGTAGAGTGCATTGAAAGATATAGGTTCATCATTTAAAGTTCTAGATTTGCAATGGCGGGTGTATGTCACACACAAACCAATTGAATCTTAATAAATTTTATTAATTTTATTACTAATTACCAATGACTGCCTTCATTAACAGGGATGTACTCATTACACAAAAAAATGCCCAAGCAGAGTTATGAGGTGAAACGACTGAAATCGAAACTACCTTAGCAAACGGAAAGAGGGGTATTTGTTTTTGAATTACCCTATAAACCTGAAGAATAGTATATGCTGTTTACAGGATACTTAATTTACTGACAAAATATAGTATATGCTGTGTACATGATACTCATTTGACTGACAAATTAATCAGGTGCAGAATATATAATTCTCATTCTCCTCAATTCAGTGAGCAGGGGCTTTTATTTTTAAACAATTTTAATATAAGATAAAGAAGATTTTAAATAGAGGATAATGCTTATCTTATTTTTTGACATTTCGTAAGATTTGAATATCAACATTATTTGGTCTCAAAGAATTGTTGTAGATAATCAATCAATGGTAATTATAAAATTAGTCAAAATCAAATATATGGATACATTCAACCATCTGCAAATATTTGATTTATTGTTGGTGTTTTACATCATACATCGACAATTTTGAATCGCAGCCATTACAGTTTTTAACTATCGGTAGTGTGGAAAGAACGTTCGTGAACTGTTTTCAATGTAATTTTGTTTTTCAATTCTGTTGACAAATTTTCTTCACATTTAAGTTCTTTTCTTTGCTTATTAATTGTTGTACATAATTGTTTTAACCTTTGGTAGATTTACATTGTGTTTAAAAATATGTTGGCAATAGAACGACTATTTTTTTTTTCTAAATGATAAAAACACTTCATACTTCAATAAATGAGAATACATACATCATAGTATAAAATATAGAATTTGAGAGCATAGATAAATAAAAGCAGATGTCGGGGTATACATCAGTGTGACAGCTTCTCTAGGGGACTCAGAAAAGAAAACATCCAGTCTTCAACAATTTAACTAACATTAAAAATGGTTTCTTGTATGATTTAGACAGAGTGCATGGTAAAAATTGTGCTAAGAATAATATAATACACATACGGACTTCTGTGTTGGTAAAGGAAAAGAAAATGAAAATAACACTTTATAATTTTCGTAAGTCCGAAACGCTTTCTTTTGGGGTTAACTCCATCAATTATTACAGGCATATTTAGGATTACAATAAACCATCAGTTAATTCTACAGTGCAGTGACGAATTAATGTGCCTTTAAACTTTTAAAGTTTGCTGAACCCTAGAATCGGAGTCGATAATTGAGTTTGTAAAATGTCAAATTCAGATTAAGGATTAACAAAATGATTAAATGATATATATATATGGTATGAAATATAAGAAATACATTTCTATGTGACACATTAAACAGTAGTGCATCGTTGAATGACATTAAATGACGTAATATATGTCAGTATAAAAAGTCTTCAACTTTTAATTCTCTGTTGCTAGTCGAAACATTTGATGTTAGCAAAAAGGAATAATTTCTCTTTCATTTCCGCTTATATATAGATTACAAGTATTATCTGCTAGGTAATAATATATAATTTAACTCTAGTAGAAGTGTCTTTTAACAACAACGATTCATCTTATAGCATCCTGGCATGCACATTGATAGGTTTCATTTTTCTTCATTTACTTTTTTGTAGAATGTCCAGATGGCTCCTACGGTAAAAACTGTAGATTTAATTGTATCGCTCCTTTTTATGGAAAACTCTGTGAAAGTTTATGTGAATGCAAAAGGTAAGTTTATAACGCCGTACATAAACATAAGTTAATAAAGCCATCAACGCTTAATTCTTTCGGTCAATGTCTAGCTACGTTATCAAACATTTTATGAATCAACATCAGCTGAAAATCATTGACATTTCTGTTACATTAAAGACATTGTAAAAAGATATGAATACAATACTTACCGATTGATAATTGTTTCCCTTTTGTTCTATTCTGATTCTAGACGTCATCTTAAGATAGTTTTACGAACAAAGAGCATGTTTTTTTATGTTACTTTTAAAGTAACAGGATGGATATTTACATTTGAACATAAATTTTAATTATATGAGCAATACGACTGGTGCCACATATGATATGCTTAACCTTCCGGAGCACCTAAGATCACCCCGGATTTTGTGGGATTCGTGTTGCTCGGTCTTTGTTTTCTATGTTGAATTTTAAGTACTGTTGTTAGTCTTTTGGTCGTTTTTCGTTTTTTGACATGGCATTTTCAGTTTGTGTTCGTGATTTTTACAATACAAAGTAATTCATTTTAAAAGTTGGATATTACTTAATAAATAAAACATGATATTAATTCTAGAAAAAAAACAATTTTATATGAAGAAAAACATCAAAGAAATTGAAACTCAAGGAATTCGAACATTTTCTATAAATATCTCAGTTTTCAATGATTAAAAAAAAGATACTGATATAAACAATTATAGTATATCCAATCAAAAGTATGGCTTCTTATGAGACATACATGTAATGTAATAATTGATAATAAAAAGTTGAGATAACCAAATGTCATTCTATTACAACTTTTAAAGTTGTGCGATTTGATAAAACTTTAAATGTGCAGTCAGTTTTGACAATATTTTGTATAGTTTTAATTCATTTATTCTATTTATTTAATTGTACAATGACTTAAATGAAGGGTGCATATAGTAAGAATCCTTCTTATTATATAAATCCTCGCTTAAACATACGCACCCACCCAAAGAATTGACTTCTGCAATTGTATACTCTTATTAGTAACTTGCATGTCCAAGTATAATTGTTCATTTTGATAAACAAATTATAAAAACACAAAAACAAAACGAAAAAATACTAAAAACAAAATAAACACATACTATGAATTTTACATGATATTTCACGAATCATTCGACATCGACAGGAAAGAGAAACCATTTTTTGTCATCGCCAGTATCCACATCATAATTACAAATAAAAAAATCGTTCCATATTTCATTTCATCGTGAAAGAAACAGCAGTTTAATCAGTACTCAGTTCTCACTTTTCTTTATCGTTTTCCAAGAAGAAATGAATGGATACGTTATGTTTAACTTAAGTATTATTCTTCTTCTTTTTCTGGATTTTATTCTCAAACACACTTGTCCGAGCCGACACTTATTTAATTTTTTGACATTGTCTTGATCTTTGGCATAAAGTGTATAGCCATGAGATATTATATAAGTCTTATATCATTATGTCCTTTACCGTTGATCTCAAGGTCAAAATAATTGATGTTTTGTTCTTGACCTTTGACTTTCAAGGTAAAATAATTAAATATTATATGTCCAACCCTAAATCCATATATATTCTTACAGGCTATGTCAATTTCTTTTTACTGCACCGAAGGAATAATTCCTTGAGGTCAAATCCCCGTTATATAATGAATCGTTAATTATCTCCAAAATGGTTTATATCCCCACCCATTGCCTTGATAGGTCATTTCTAATTCACCATAGGATTTGTAACCAGGGGACACATTCACATCCGCACCCCTCCATCATATTAATTCTTAATTGCCTGGTTTATACATTTTATTCTAGACGAGGTCTGTTTGTGGTACAAGCCACGTCTCTTTCATTTCATTAACTGTTAAATATCTTTAAAAAAAAACTGTTAAGACCCACCCCTAATTAGTAAATCTTTTATATTCTTGTTTTCATGAAATGACCTTCACATTGAAACATAGGTTTTGTAGTTGTCTTTAATTTTTAAAAAAATGTTTGCTATTGCTAAGCAACCTGTGGGTTTCTATGCTCAATATGGAATTCGTCAAAAAAGATGAATGATAATCTAGATGTTTATTTTATAGTGTAACACCATATGAGAAAGTTTATTCTTCCAAAATTACTAAATTCATACTTCAGATAACATAAAGAACCCATTATTGAGCGGTTGCTATGCACTTGTTATGTAGCTAAGTTGTTGATAAATAAAGGCAACAGTAGTATACTGCTGTTCGAAACTCATAAATCGATAGAGATAAAAACAAATCCGGGTTACTAACTAAAACTGAGGGAAACGCATCAAATATAAGAGGAGAACAACGACACAACAAAAATACAACATTAAAAATGTAACACACACAGAAACGAACTATAATATAACAATGGCCATTTTCCTGCCTTGGTACAGGACATTTTAAGAACAAAATGGTGGGTTGAACCTGGTTTTGTGGCATGCCAAACCTCCCGCTTTAATGGCAACGTCAAACACAACACCAAAACGACAACATCACATGACAGGACCACAATACAAATAAATGGGAGAACATATAGGACAAAGAAACACACGAATAATAGCTAACAAAAGGTACTAGGCTTAAAATTCAATACGCCAGACGTGCGTCTCGTCCACACAAGACCATCCAGTGACGCTCAGATGAAAAAAGCTTGAAAGCCAAAACAAGTACAAAGCCGAAGAGCACCGAGGACCAAAACTTCCAAAAAGTTACGCCTAACACGGCCAGGGTTTTCTGCCTGGGACAAGAACATCCTTAGTATTTAGAATAATTTATAATTTTTCAAACAGTAAATTTTATAAAATGACTATATAATAGATATACATGATAAAACCGAAGTGGGGACTAACTACAGAATAAAAACGGATACATTACATAAAACAACTTAATCCAACATATAAAAATACACAGCCGAGTTAGCCAAAGCAGCAACGCACAAAGTGACGTCACATTTGATAAGCATTAAGTGAACTACAATTGAACTAACTTTTCATTTCTAACTAAAAGTTGCTCATAAACAGACAATCTGCATTGCATTCAATTTAATTTGTTCAATTAAATGACTAATTGATTTGTAGTTATCTTTTATTCAAACATTTTTTTGCTGTTGATAAACAACATTTGTTTTGCTATGCTCAATACGGAATTTGTTAAGAATAAAGATGTATATGATAGTATATTGGAATGAAACACCATATGGAAAAGAAAAATCTTCAAACAACTGCTAAATTCATACTTCGGAGGGGAAAAACACCCATTTTATAACCGTTGCTAGGCAACATTTCTGTTGCTAGGTTGTTTTTAAGCATATAGTGAACGAAATCAAAGGGACTTTTCATTTGTGACTTCAAATTCTTCCTGGACAAACAATATTATTTGGAATTATTTAAATTTGTACTGATAAGGCAATTAATATGTGATAATTTTGATACTTAATAAAAACCGTTGCTAGGCAACCTTCCTTTCACCGGAACACAATAAAATCATTGTTTTTTTCAAGTTTCTATACTAAGACCACCAATGATATTAATATAAACTTATTTAGAGAGGGGGCAAAAAACGCCCCTTATCTAACCTTGTCCTTTCCATTTTGATTTTCTGATTAAAAAGATTTCGGAATTTTTCAATTTTCTCATTTGACAAATCGATTTTGTTTTCTCGTAATTGATGAATTATATCCCTTGTTTAATGCCAGTCCCCAAATTAAATGTATCGTTGTCGAAGTCGCCATTTGTTTGTATAACTCTCATATAGATGGTCAATGGTACGAAAATTATAAAGTTCTTTAAATTCTATTGATATCATCGGAATGCATAAGCGTTCCGATTAGGGGTTTTGCGTCATTTTTTGTTTTGTCATTTGGATTTATTTCTGCAAAAATTAGTATACTTTCAAATTAGTTTTAAACATTTGTTTCGAGCACCTATGGCGGGAATTGATGTTTGGAAACGCCAATATGTAGATCGATTGTACTGTTAACCAAAAATAAGTTTTCGAAATATGTTGCAGTAAAATCTTGAAATTATGTAATACCCCTTGTTGCTGGTAGTGGCGGTGATGATGCTTGTGTAGATGGTTTAAATCATCTATATTTAGTTTTAAATATTTCCGTTTGCATCAATGAAAACAATCAGTTCGTCTGTTTCTCAATGAATTGTTCAATATCTCTGTATTTTCCCTATGATATGATATTTCAAACAAATTAGCTTATCCGTATCCTACCATCTTTTGTTCAAAATGTAAGATATAGCGCATCCTTATCTCGCTCAATTGATATGTTATTGTTGTCTGGCTTGTCTTTCTTTTAACATTCGATTTTTTTCTCCATTCGTGATTTAAAAGCTTAGTATTCTGCATCTCCTCTCCGATCGTTGGAATATTAGCTATCGTATTTTCTAATTTGTTAGTCACTTTTTTAAGGTGACTCAAAACTGTTGACGTGTTTTTGTAGATTTGCCAACTCCGCTGACGATTTTAGTGGACTTGATATTAGCTGTTTTCGATTTTTTATTTACTCGTAGCTATTCCCTATTCTTACTGATTTCTGCAGGTTGCGACAAACAGTTCCTCTCGGTTCAAAGGACGAGGATCCAGAAGGCAACTAGCGAAATCCACTGAATTGCGGACAGGCACATAAATATAGTGGCGGGTTTAAACATGTACGTGATCGCGCATCCATTCCATAACCTTTGACAGGGGCATAAGAGCACAACATAGAACACACGGTTAAGATCAATTGGAAAGTGACTCATTAGAGCGACACGAACATTTAAAAAACTAGAAATACAACAAAAGACACAAATATATAAGAGTACTCAGTTACTGAAAGCTAGTTCACTGCCATTAGATCGGCACAACACACAAAATGAATCCTGTTTGAGTTGTTTTGTCTCCCCTAAATACAAATATAACTTCTTAAGTAATTGCTATAAAACAAAAAGAAAGGAGATACCAAGAAGAAAATCTAAAACCATATGTACAAGAAAAAAAACGGCAATGGTCAGTTGAATATCGAAGACCAGACAAACAGCTGTCCACAAACCATTAAAAAACTAAAGAATGAGCCACACGAACACCACCAACATTCTGGGTGAACTGTGATTGAACTCAGAAGAATCAGCAGTTCCTGCACAACCGGTAACACCAGCCATGTTGCTTTTGTAAATTTATATTTATGATTCAACACAAGAGAATATGTATCTTAAAATGGTGGATTGACAAATGTTGATCTAACACTAAGACGTAATCAAAATAAAAATACATCGGTAATTGTTAATTCTTTAACTCTAAAACTTGACTTAATATGAAAGTTTGAAATACAAACAGGGTTTGTCAGGACAAAGACAAAATAAGACTTTTACTAGTAAACAAAATACAGACTTGAAAAATAAAGTAACAAAATATTTACTGAAAACTAAAGAAAGGGAACAAAAGGAAATTAACAAGACTGGAAGTGAACTAACGTGCTCCGGTTGGATTTATATAACAGTCCTGCTTCACTGGTGACACACGTCGTTTTCCTCAACAAGTATAAGTTTGTCTCATTTTGTATTGTCACAATCGAGTAAAAGGGGCGTGATTGTAGATACAAGTGGGACATGAACATGATCATCTGTGTCATAGATATTTCATAATGGTCAACCAAATAATGAAGACGTCCGTAAAACTTTCGAAAAATTGACCGATTTGAACCCTTCATTCAATAGCATCCTTATAGATAGCAACATTCTACGAAAGAAATAGTTTTACGAAACGCAAGCCCTAGAATATCGTATCCAATGAGCGATATATTCTCCTTATGCAGGCTTTCTCCGGACTTTGCTAAATAGAAATGGAAAATTCACAATGATAAAACTGAAATCATTTTTTTTTTCGTAAATTTTAATTCTAATCCTACCTTCATTGTACATTTCTATATGTAAGTTATGACATGAAGCAGACTTATCTGTTTCATACTTAACTGTATCTGTGGTATCCTTTTGTTAAATTATATTGCATTAGGTGTTATTAACATAGCCACCAAACTTAAATTATACATTCAATTATTCGTTTTTACTAAAAATTGCAATGTTGCGATAATTCGACAATTTCATGTGCTGATAATTAATACTTATTAATTAATAATACATACGAATGATATTCTAAACCAACAACCAAACTTTTATCTTGAGTAATGAATGATTGGATATCCGTAACAAATATTGTATGTGCCTGTATCATACTTGTTCGGTTAAGTTTCGGATTTGATCCTTTTAATGAAAGACATTCAGGGGAAATTCGACACTGCTCTTTAACTTAGATAAAAGGTTGAATCAACAAGAAAAGAAACAAAATCAACAGTTCTTAACTATTTGGTTGAATGAACACCATTGTTGTCATCTGTTTAGATCGGATTTACTAAATCGTATTCCAAAAGAATTGGTGAGGTTGTATGTTATGTTTCTTAGAAAATTTTCTCAAGAATTACAACTCAAAGTAGCCTTTTCAAACAAAGACATACAAGCGGGGTCCACTCATAAGAAAAACAGAGCTTTGTTTGTACAAATAAATTAACAACTGGGTTAATTTTATTTGCAGTGTATGAGCCAACGTCTTTATTAGCTTGGCAAGCAAGCTTACTAATATTTACAGTTTGTTCTTATGTTGTTCTGTTTAATAACTGTGCCAGGTTAGGGCTGTGGTGGCGTTGCTTAGATCCCAAAAACATGTTTCACTCTGCCACATTCAATGTCCCTGTCCCAAGTTTGAAGCCTGTAATTCAGAGGATACGATCATATGTGCTATCTGTCACATTTGTTTTATTATAAACCAAAAATGACTAGTGTAAAACCATTCAAACAGGAAAACCAACGGTCTAATCTATATAAAAAACGAGCAACGAGAAACACTCATATTTCAGACATTGTTAATATTTATATTATGAAACAGAAAATCATACAGATATTTGTGCTGTCATTTTCCTTTTTAGTTTATAAGTGTTAGTATGTTCCAGGTGTCATCATATTTACGGGTGTGGAGAGAATTTAACAACAGAAAGGTTTAGCTTGTATAGCACGTATGTATTCCAATTAAGTAACTATATAGTTTCATCTCGAAATGGGTCTTAACTTGATAGTTGTTAAACTTTTATTTAAAATTTTCTGCTTTTAAAAAGTATAACAAAAATGCCGAACTCTAAGGTAAATTAAAAAAAGAGGGAAGTCCATAAAAACTGCACAATCATACGTTATCAACCAATGTAGCGTATGGAAAACAACTGTCATATTCCTGACTTTGCATTACACTGTCCGAAGCTCTTTTTTTTTTGGATTTACTTCAACAGGAACGCTCAAATTTAGACATTTGAGAGCCATTGATGTGTAAATACGCTGCAATGTTTGGAGCATTTGGACCAAGAAGGACCAAAGTAGTAAATTTTTATTTCAGGCTTAAACCACATACTGACTCACATACTTACCAGTACAAATCCATTTATTTCCATATGAATATGTATAATTTTTCCTCGAAATGTATGCGTTTAATTTTTATATGTACGAATAATTCTTAAACGTGGTCAGACACAAGTTTAATGTATCGGTCCTTTTTCATTTGTTCAATAATGTCCATTTTACTTTGCTTCAGAAAATCGATAAAGAATTACAGTAATCAATTTCGTTTAGTTTCTTTTATTCATATAAACACGTGTTCAATTTTCGAGCATTGTGCCGTCTAATAACATCAGAGTTTACTGCAATGATCAAACCCAAAATAAATAATATCAAACGTCTTCCATCTCAATTATAGGAGTGTACAACGATACGAAATTGCTTTACGCCAAAAGGGATGATTTCTATTTTCCAATTGTGAACTTTCCATTTCTATGTAACTGTTCCGGACCATATGAGTATTTGGACCCTTGCGCGTATGGTCATGACCATATACGTATACTCATATGGTCCGACCATACGCGTATGGTCGGACCATATGAGTATATACTCGATTGGTTATTAACGGGCCCGACCATATGAGTATTTAGACCATATAAGTATTTTGCAAATAAATCATGACTTCGTTCGCTGGAACACACAGCTCGTTCTCCGACCAAAATCGGCACAAGTTACTTTCTGAAATTAGTTATCTTTTATATGTTGTCTGAATATTGGTGTATCTATTATTTTCAGCTTGCCTTCGCTAGAGTAAATTTGATTCAACTTTATCCTGTTGACTTTCGGAATGGAGTTTTTTCTTCTTTCCCCGGTGTTTAGGTTATTTTATTTTTTTAATTCGTCTAATTTCTATGTTTTTTCTCTCACTTATTTGACGTGTTCTTGATCCTTTTCATACATTCTTACAATAACAGTAGTTCATGCGTGCTGCTCTCTATTTTTATTTAATTCACGTATAAACTACTGGTATTGTACAATCGTATGACTATGAGCATGAAAACATTTAAAAAAAAATAACTAAAATACTCTGAAATATTTAAGAAATTGTAATTTACTCAAAACAAATTAAAACACCAAAATAAAGATAAAAACGATGTGCCTGTGAGTTCAACAGTTGACTTCTTGTTAAATGGTTTATTTCGATATTACTTCGAAGTTATATTCCAAAGTCGAAGTCGACATATTGCGTTTCGGAAGCAAAAAACGGCAATGACTATGCAAAAATAATTTTGCTCAAATTTTAATTTGTGAGTAAAATTCATGTTTTTCATTAAAAATGTAACAATGAATACCATTTGCTTAAATTAGTCACAATTTCAATTAAGAAACTTTTAACTAATGACACCTTGAAGGTTCATACCTAATGCAACGTACAACGTATTAAATACCCGGACCATACGCGTATGGTCCAAATACTCATATGGTCCGGAACATAACCACATTCCAGCAGCGCCAGCGTATGGAGTATATAGCTTCCAGAGCATGCATTTCCTATCATGATTTCCTTGATAAAATGTTGTTACTTACAAAGAAGCTTTGGAACCAAAAATTCCAAGTGGCAAAGTTAAAGTCACACCTTCGAAAGTATTACAGACGCCATCATGAGTTGGTTGACCATTATGGGATATTAGTGTCCCAGATGACGACGAATATATTTCAATTGTCATAACCACAATCCTGTCGTCGTTTCCTCGATTGTGACATCACCAAAGGAGACTTTTCACCGAATTTGTACTTATCATGAGCAATATGACGTGTTTCACTAGTAGAGCAGGTTCACCTTACCCTTTGGGAGCAACTGAAACCACGAAATTATAGGGTTTGTGTTGCTTAGTGTTAAGTTTTCTATGTCGCGTTTTGTGGACTTATGAGTTTTCAATTTTCCCTTGGTATCTTCTGACTTTTTTTACACACCCTTCAACACTATTCCTTTTACTAATTTGAAAAGATCTACTATATTTCTTATTAAACCGTGCGTTTATGACAACATAATTGGGATGTAAAAAAAAACGTGAACTTTTCTCAGATCAAAAGATAAAAAAACATAGAGAGATGCATTTTAGTAATAATGTTTTATATATTGTACTAAGTTGAGATAAACTTGAGGTATAATTACAAAATTCCTTCTGTTGTTCAAACTAAATTAAACAAAAATGAAACAGCTAAGCTGAATAAAATCTCGATTGAGGACTTCCATTATTAAATTTCAGTTTCATTATAGGAAACCTACGGTGACTAAAAAATGGATAAAAGAAATTTCTTTAACAGAAATCACGAAAGAATGGAACAAAGAAGTTACTTCAGCAAAATATGAAAAAGGTAGTCCTCATCTTATGCAGGAATTATTTGTTCTTATTTTTTGTTATCAATAAACACATAATTTTATTATAGCATTAAGATCAAAGGCTTGATTGGAATTAAGGGAAACATGTTTCATCTGAAATACTTGCATAGTAAATAGAAGCGTCAAATTGACTGCGTGGTATTCTTCAATTCACAGCTACACCCTGTCAAAATACCGATTTTGAATCTGATGCCTCGCATTAGTAGAAGTGCCATGATATTTGGACGTTTAAAAACATTACAACTTTTAGACGGGTTTGTTGATGGACTGTTTTAAAAAAAAGATTCTAGCCCTATTAAACATACAAATGGATTCAACGTCTTCATTCCGACAGAACGTGGATGTCTATCTATGCATCCCGTATAGTCAAGCGATCGCACTTTTTTAGCATGGTGTTACTGACGGGTGGTAGAATTCCAGAATACCATACTTCTATACTTCAGTCACTTTTGGAGACTTTTTAATACAATAATTGGGGTGGTTTTAACAAAGTGAGACGGACAGGAAAATTGGCGACATTTCAAGCTGCACAAGATTAAGTGTATGTTGGGTAAATACATAATTATTCCCATGCAACAGATCCACTCTAGATCCTTCCTAGTGTTGCAATGGTTTTTTAACATTTAGAGAACATGGCACCATCAAAACACGGGGCTGGTGATTAAAGAGTAACAGTGATGATCAGAAATTTAAGAAATAGATTTATCTATTGGAAATTTTCCACTGTGTGGAAAATATCGTTGTAGAACTTTCTTTGGGAATTTTCTTGATCTAAAGTTTGCTTGGTAAGATTTTACCTAAAAGGTTATGAATGTATGTCGAAGGGAAATATTGTACGCTCAACAAGGACATTTATTAGGATTCCAGATTAAGCCACGGTCCAATCCTCTCGCATCTGTCTAATGTATGCCTGTTATTTACCATTGAGTTTAATCAAGTTCTGTAGCACGTTTTAAAAAGATATGAAAATATGAATATGATGGTCAATTTCAAAAGAATATCTCATTAAACGAATAGTATAGTATCTTGATTGCAGATATAATTTTATTTGTCAATGTTCAAAAAATTATCTTTTAAAAAAAGAAGATATTTGAAATATGTCAAGGTTGTTCTTATGTTATGCTACTGCACTACTGTCCCTGGTTATTGGGAGGATACACGTTTAACCACGCCGCATACTGTATTTGCCTGTATATCAGTTGTTGTCGTTGTTTGGTTGCTGCCGTATTTGTTTTTTTGTATTTGCTCAATGTTGAAGGTTGTACGGTGATATATAGTTGCTTACTTCCACGTTGTTTCGTCTCTGGCTCTGGTGGATAATTACCGGATTGGCAATCATACGAAATATTTTTATTCTAAACTGACAATAATGTAACAATAAAACACGTTAATCTACTAATACTGTCTTCAACAAACGACGAATGTCTATACAATATGACAAGCATACAGGTGTTGGATTCTGATTCTCAAAATCTTAACCTTATCTTTTTAACACAAAAACTAGTGACACGTTAAGTTTTTAACCTATAACATATGTAATTAATCAGGTCAAGTTGTTCCTTTGCTTGGATATAAAGTATATATAACTATTTATAATTTCTTTTAAGAAAAAGAATCTGCATTTTCTATGGAGCAGGTTATAGTTATAATAGTAGCATCATCAGCCAGTACTGTGGTGTCTATGGTAATTGTTATTATTTTCGTCTTGATACTTAGAAGACTGTTGTGTGAAAAACAACGTTCTGGTCGTGCAGGGACTTTTAACGAAGCTATATTCACCAATAATGACATAAGATCACAGCTACCAACTCCCCAAGAACATTTTATTAATACCCAGACAAGTGCCATTCCTGAGTCCCAATATGAAACAGTTGACGAATCAAACATGATAGAAATCTCAGGCATAAGAATAGGTGAAGAAAGATCGGCTTTACGCAACACGCATATCTCTAGTTCAAGCTGTGACAGCAAAACATCTAATGCCAGTGGAGTTGCATCTGAGGATACTGAAGGTTACCTCCATCCATACAATACTCTACAAGAGAATTGGCAAAATAAATGTTATCAGTACAGTTCATGCAGTCACAACTCTTAAACAACAAATAACGACAGAAGGGATATCAACAAAAACTTCCAATTTCATACCATCAAAATATACATTAAAGATATATTGCAGATGGTCAAAACATTAAAGTAGACACGTGTTGTTCGTTTATTGTATTTTTATAGTTTGTTCTTGTGCTGTTTCATCAATGTCCCAGATTAGGGGGAGGGTTGGGCGCCCGCCCAACATGTTTAACCCCGCCACATTCTGAATGTGCCTGTCCTAAGTCAGGAACCTGTAATTCAGTAGTTGTCGTTTGTTGCTGTATATCTGTGTAGTTGTCTCATTGGCAATCATACCACATCTCCCTATTTCTATAAAGGTAGCTTGCGTGCTAGCTCAACCATAAAATTGGACGGAGTCAAAAGTTAAGCAGAGAATCAATTGAAAGTAGGGACAGTATATAAAAATTGTGAAACCAATTTTACCTGTCAGTTAAAAGAAATATGATTTCAATCTAAATTTAAAATCAAATGTCAATCATATATGGCATGGTATTGGTTGCAAAAATTTGATATTTTTCATTTAAATGCAATATTTCTTATTTAATTGGTATATTTCTTAATTTAAATGCAATATTTTTTTATTTGAATGGTATATTTTTTTCATTTAAATGCAATATTTTTTATTCAGATGGTATAATTTTTCATTCAAATGGTATAATTTTTCATTCAAATGGTATAATTTTTCATTCAAATGGTATAATTTTCGTTCAAATGCAATATTTTTTATTCAATTGGTATAAAATGTCATTTGAATGCAATATTTTTTATTCAATTGGTATAGTAGTTTTTTATTTATATGCAATAATTGCATTATGGGAAATGCTTCGAATACAATAAGTTTTCTCTCAAATATATAATATTTGATAGGACAACATAAAAAAATCCTGTATCCTAATTATAATAGTGCTCAATTGGAAGAGGATATGGTCACAATGGTTTCACTACGGATATTATTTCCAATTATATTTTGTATAGAGAACATTACACATCACTTGAATTAAATCATTTCCTTTTTTAAAATAAACTTCAACCTTTCAAACAAAATGATTCAATTACGACGTAGGAATTACATCCCTATGAGAAATCATTGAATATAAAAGTATAAATGTACCTAGGCATGGTTTTCCTTGCAACAAATGTTATATTTATCTTAATTCACGAGATTACCGGAAGATCTGATGGAGTCTGCTATGAAAGGAAGTAAGCTGTTTGATTCTACCGAAACGCGTATCTGGCGTGCAAAATGTGAATCCTGGTATCTCTGATGAGTGTATCTAGCGTGATTTAAAAAAGAGGGACGAAAGATACCAGAGGGACAGTCAAACTCACAGATCGAAAACAAACTGACAACGCCATGGCCAAAAATAAAAAGACAAACAGACAAATAATAGTACAGATGATACAACATAGAAAACTAAAGACTAAGCAACACGAACCCCACCAAAAACTGGGGGTGATCTTAGGTGCTCCGGAAGGGTAAGCAGATCCTGCTCCACATGTGGCACCCGTCGTGTTGCTTATGTTATTACAAATCCGGTGAATAGTCTAATTCGGTAGGTCACATTCGTGAAAAGGGAAGGGTATTGAAGTTACGACATAAGGAACATATCCGATATCATCTGTGAAACGGTTATTCCATAACGGTAAACCAACTCGTGATGGCGTCCGTAAAATTTACGAAGGGATGATTTCAACTTCACCATTTGGAACTTTTGGTTTAATAGCTTCCTTGTGAGCAATAATCCTCTATCAAGGAAATCATTATAGGAAATATAAGCCCGGGAATATCGTATCAACTGGGAGATATATACTCCGTATGCAGGCGCTGCTGGAATGTTGCTACATAGAAATGAAAAGTTCACAATTGGGAAGCTGAAATCATCTCTTTTGTCGTAAAGTTTTGTTTTCAACCGACCCTCATTGTCAATTTCTAGATGTAAGTCAAGATATGAGGCAGACTTAACTGTATCTGTAGTATCCTTTATCCCTAGTTCGACGGGATAGATTCGTTCAACATAGTCACCAAATTTTGTATTATTTAGTGAGAGAACATCATCTATATAGCGGACCATAAAGTTAAAGAATATTGTTAACTTCTTATCTTTCTTCCTAAGAAGTTCATGTATGAAGTTAAAATGTGTACTTCCATCTTTGTTTGAAATTTTAAGATTTCGTCTTACCATATGCTAAGCACTTATATTCAAGCTCATATCAGTATTTTGATCGTTCCGCTACAAGACAAAATTGTTTAGTATATAATTGAACTCTCGAACCTTAAACTTGATAACCAATCAGGCAATTATTTTACAGTGGGAAATCTAGTGAACGAAAACAAAACAAAATTCACTCTTCTTATGATAGAGTCGAGAAAGTCAATAATAAAACAATGCCGGTGACGATACTGATCAAAAGTTATTTAGACATTTAAAAGAAATTATTTGTTAAACTGTGTTATTAAAAAATATACATGCGAATACACGATGTTTTATGTTCAGTATTTATCGAGATGATTGCATTAGAAGCTTGTGAAATTGAAATTTAAAAAGTGCCAATCTTTGCTGCATATTGATGAAAAAAATTAAAAAAATCATGTATATACAAAATCTAAAGATCTTTCGGGTCACCAATTTCCGGAGTGTTCCACAAAATCCTTAGCATGTTACAATTTCCCAAAGTATACTTATTTTTTCACACCTATGTTGTTTGGCTTTGAGCGTTCCTGGTGAAGGTAAATCCAGAAAAGCGCTTCGAACGCATGAAATTATTAAACGTGTTTTCAATTTTTTTATCGAGCACACCGGTCTGCTCTTGTCACATGTACATTTAATAGAGAAATATTGTCTTTTCATGAATATAAAAATTTAAAAGTCTGTCTGTGCAGATTAAGAAATTAAAGATAACTATTCTTATAAAGTAGGTATCTTTCTACCAGTTTTTATACAATTTTAAGAAAAGGTCGTCTCGATTTTTGTACATGTATTTGCGGTCTTCTCGATCTATTCACATTCAATGTCTACATCGAGATAAGGTCCGTTTGAATTTGCTTAGTAACTTAATTTCAAAAGTGCCAATCTCTGCTGCATATCAATCGATTCCTTGGAATTTTTTCCCTGACTTTCTCTGATCTAGCTATATATATATATACGGATAATTAGCATGTTCCAGAGAAGTATACAGCCAGTAGAAAAATAAATTGAAGATGGTACTCCAGGAATTTATTCGCATAGCAACATTTTAATCCAATTTTACATCAAGTTTCTATAGCCTGATGTACTTGTCGTTTGCTACTTAATGAGGGAAATAAAAACATTAAATGGAAGTTTTGTTTTTATTTCAACTTATTTCTATTCTTGCTAGTGAATCCATAATTGATAGCGTCCTTGCTAAAATGGGACAAACATTATTAGGTTTGGTACCATTAAAACGTTTAAACCCGCTGCAATTGTTTGCACCTGTCCTAAGTCAGGAATTTGATGTTCAGTTGTTGTCGTTTGTTGATGTGGTTCATATTGTTTCTCGTTTTTTATATAGATTAGACCGTTGGTTTTCCCGTTTGATTGGTTTTACACTAGTAATTTTTGGGGCCCTTTATAGCTTGCTGTTCGGTGTGAGCCAAGGCTCCGTGTTGAAGACCGTACTTTGACCTATAATGGTTTACTTTTATAAATTTTGACTTGGATGGAGAGTTGTCTCATTGGCACTCAGACCACATCTTCTTATATCTATAAACTATTTGCCACTCTACATTAGCCATTTATCCAACCATTAGACAAACAGCACAATCAAATAACTCTGATAAGGAAAAATATCAAAAGAGCCACACACGTGTAATTATGTTTGATAGATGGCTTTCAATACGTATCAAAGTGTGAATTATCTTTGAATCGCTTTAAAAATACAATTGCGTCATCAGGTAAACTCAATCTGCGACAGCGAAACCCACATTTTACGTAGACCAAGCTTCAAAGACAAAACAGTTATCTCTTAAATATATATATAATGTTTGATAGGACAAGTTTGATAGGACAACATAAAATAAAATAAAATTCCTGCAACCTAATAGTGCTCAACTGGAAGAGGATATGGTCACAATGGTTTCACTACGGATATTATTTACATTTATATTTTGCATAGAGAACATTACATATCACGTGAATTAAATTATTTCCTTTTTAAACTAAACTTCAACTTTTCAAACAAAATGATTGAGTTACATCCTTATAGGAAATCATTGAATATAAAAGTATAAATGTACCTAGGCATGGTTGTCCTTGCAACATATGTTATATTTATCATAATTCACGAAATTACCGGGATATCTGATGGAGTCTGCTATGAAAGGAAGTAAGCTTTTTCATTCTAGCGAAAGGCTCGTCTAGCGTACAAAATTTTAATCCTGGTATATATATTGAGTTTATCCAGCGTGATAGAATAAAATAGATCTTCAGCAGAGTCTTCTTTGTTGGATGTTTTCACATTTCGTCTTATCAGACGCTAAGCACCTAAATTCAAGCTCATATCAGTATTTTGGTCGTTCTGCTTCAAGATATATAATTACAGACTTGTTTGATATATAATTGAACTCTCGAAACTAAAACTTGTAATTTCAGATATTAGACTCCTTAGTTTTTGGGTTTGGCATTTTTTGTTGTTTTACTTTTTATCCACCAGCTGACGGGCTTCAAGTGAATTTAATGTATACTTAGGGTATACAGCCATCTTGAATTGTACACTCGCAGTTCAAAATCGGTCTAGTTATTTTCCCAAATCTGCAAGTTTGGAGACAGATTAGCAATTAAATGGTTAGACTGTTTATTTATATAATAAAAACTTGGTGATTTATTGTATTATTCAAAATATTTAAATAAAAATATATTTTTTTCTAGTTTTCAAAATCATTTTTTCAAATGAGCCATTTAAGGGGAGATAACTCTTTTAGTAAAAAATTTATAATGGACTAATAATGAAATTTTAATTTTTACTTGTAGCAAGAAAACAAGTTCGGTGACACCATTTTTTCCATTTATTTTCTTAAAACATATAATAAAACCTATCTTCTCACAATTTATTTCAAAATTCTATCTCATAGAATTTTTTATGCAAACAAATGTGTTTTT